GAAGGTTCTGGCTTGTGTGTGAGAAAGAGGGAAAGACAGAGTTATAGAAAGAGGTGGTGGGACAGTGTGGGTAGACTGCAAGGAGAAGGATGGGATTCATACAGACACATTTTTTGTTTCCCTTTGTTCTCATGGATATATAATGGCAGCCAAAAATATTTAAAATTATTCCTGCGTAAGGTGGTTGAAAATTAAATGGAAATGCACTATAATTATTATGTAATATAATACAGCTAATCAATCGACTAAAAGAGTGGGCAGGTATTAATGGAATGACCCTGGATTGTTTCTCACCCTCATCCAAACAGGAAATGGATGTTTCACTTGAGTCATTCACTTTTTCAGCTTCAGACAGCACGTGGTGTACCTCAAAGATCAATTACTGGACCAGTTCTGTTCTCACTGCATTATGCTGCAATTAGGGAGCACGATTTGTGACATTTTATTTCACTGTTATGCAGATGACACACAGTTAAATCTCTCTGTCAATTCCTCTGATTTTAACAAGCTGGCCACACTTCAGAGTTGGTTAGCTGATGTGAGAAAATGGAAGTCACAAAAGTTTTTGCAGTAAAACATTGACAAAACAGAAGTCTTTATCTTTGGCCCTGAGCACCTCTGTAAACAAATCCACTGCCCGACCTCTTTACTCGAGATCTATTGGATACTTAAGGGTACTGCTAAGAACTTTGGTGCTATTTGCTAACACGCAAAAATTTGTCCAATCACGTTTTTACCAACTCAGGGTTATTGCCAAGATCCAAGCAATGTTGTTTTTTCATTGTAGCGAAAAAATGATTCACACCTTTATATCTTCACACCTGGATTATTGTAATGTTTGTTTGCCTTCATGTTCAAGCTGTATCTTAGAGCCTTAGACTGTGCAGAACATTGTAGCCAGGCTCCGAACAAAGACCAAATACACTTCTCACATCACCCCAGTCACCTCCCCACTGTCCTCTGGGTGAGGCCTGGTAGACCAGGTTCAAGTCAGCCTTATTCAGCCTTCCAGTTAATATTCGGTCTACTGACATGGTCTCAGTTTTTGAATCCTGTCTTAAAAAACATTTTTACATACTCACGTTCCTGTCTGACAGCTAGACTTACTTGTCAGTACAGCTTGGTACTGTAGACAATTTTTTCAACCTTCTCCTCAGTCTTTTAACCTATACAGTACTTAATTTTCAGTACACCCACAAATAATAAAACGCTAGTTAAGAGTGTCATTAGAATGTAAAAGCTTGATGATGAACAGGTCCAAAACCACCTATCAAACAAAGATTTGGGTCTTTGTTGGAACACTATAACCTCATTAACAGGAGACAAAAGCACTCAGCTGAAAATGGTCAATGTTGTGTTCTCTCACAGAGGAAAACACAACAGAATGTTTTTCAGAACTGTGGGTTATATTAAATAAAGGCGACTAGAAAACAACAAATATTTGGTCAGAAAAAAACACAGACATGGATTGAAGTACAAAAGTATTAATTGGCCAGAAAAATAGTCCCTCCAATGGAATAAAAACAACACTGTGAACACTGCAAACTTATCTTAGTGGCAAGAGTTTGTGCTCTCTCATTTAAATGCATAAGCATAATATAAACAAACATTTAAACTTGACTAAGTGACTTAGATAGTTTCCATAAACAAAGTCAGAAGTAATATTTTCTGTTAATTAGCAGTTTTTCTGTCCTTCTCAAATCTTTTCAAGTTTTTGAAGACAAAGATTTATTAATTACACTTGCCTATGTTTTAGCCAAAAATATTAAGATGTCAGGTGTTAAATAGGTTTAATCATCAGTGTTACCTCTAGAAGATAATTTATTCCAGAGCAATAAAACGCAGCCTTGTATTCTCACTTAATCTCTCTAAATAAAACATTTAGTTTTTGTACATATTTGATTTCTAGCTGAGTGAATGTGTGAACGGTGCATTTTGGAGGAACTGTTTGCTACAAGAATTATGGCAGAGATGCTGCAAAGCTGTAGTCAATATCACCCAGCCAGTGATATTGACTGCACTGCACATGCTGTGTGCAATGTGGTCAGTGCCCAGCCTGTCTGAGTTATGACATATTGCTGGGAAAAGAGAGACCCCTACTGGAAAATTAATCAAACATATAAATTTCTTCACATAAACCTTTAATTGGAAAAAGTAGCAGCTGTAAAATAAATTCTAGGCTTGTGTTTAAATCAGGTTTGTAATTGCATAATTTTTCTTTTATTTAGTCACCTTCCCATCACACAATCAGTCTCCACACAGAGTAAAGTTTGAATGAGGTTTAGCACTATAAGTCTTTCCCATGGATATTTAGTTTGTGAGTCCTGTTTTCACCATCTTTCTGATCCTTTTTATTCAAACTTGTGAGTGACTATGTTCGTATCTCTTCACATTTCAGGTTGCTGGTCACTGCAGCAGTTGTTCTTGGTGATTTCTCTCTAAGTAGCTTGTCCTTACTGTAAGATGAATAATAAAAAATGGTGATGGTGACTGAGAAGACCTATAACTATATCCAGTTGTTTTCAATTCGGTTCAGTTCATATCTACTGTATTGTTTTTTATTTCATTGTCATAACTTGTGTTTGACCCCAACGATTAAGATGTTTTGAAACAAGTTATGAAAAGGCATCATTTATAAGGGGTTAATAGGCTGTTAATTAATAGATGTATCAATTGTAGAAACATGATTTTCTAATACTTTACAGATCACGTATAAGAATAACTTTTGGGTTGCCAGATTATGGGAAATCCTCCTCCCGCATTGCACTTTGCTTGTCTTTTTAGCTCTTTAATTCATTATGGAGACCCATCTAATGCACTGTTTGCCTAGTTAATAAATGGATTTTGGTTGCAAATGTCCTACAGTCCTTCTCCAGAGGATAAGTGGTCAAACTGTCCATCGGAGGGGTCTCACTAATGAATTAAAGAACTTGCTGGAAAGACAAGCAATGTGTTCTGCATACTGGAGGAGGATTTTGCACAAAGTGGCAAAAGTAAATGAGTAAATGATTTATTAACCATTAATAAAGCCATTAATTGCAGCTTATAAAAGGCGCCTTTGTAAATGTATAGGGCCTTATCAGAAAGTGGTACTGAAGTTCTGATTTAGTCCAGACTGCTTATCTTCACTGTGGGGAAATTCTTATACTGCTCTGTTCTCACTAAATAACAGAAAAATTCTAGTGTTATTGACTTTAACTGGAGCATGAACCTTTCCATGAACTCCTGGACACATGTGAAACCTTCATCTCAGTAGTCCTAAAAGTAAAAACTGTATGGCTCTCCTTATCCAGTGGTGCAATCTCATTAGTGTAGCAAGTTTATTACCTTGTCTCATCCTCATCAAGGGTCATACAGGCCCCATATAAGAGGATAGATTGCATCTAAGGCGACCTTCTTCCTCTCTGTTTCTCTCACTGTCACACAAACACACACACACACACATAAGTTGTGGTATTCCTCTGTTGGACCTAATGGTCTTTTAGTGTTCAAAAGATAGAGCCCTAACGCATACTGACAGGACAGATTAACACACAGGACTTAAACATGAGTGGTGCAAGTCAAAGGTCAATACACAGACAGAGATGTAAACTGCTGTGTGTGTGTGTGTGTGTGTGTGTGTGTGTGTGTGTGTGTGTGTGTGTGTGTGTGTGTGTGTGTGTGTGTGTGTGTGGGGAGGAGAGTGCATGTGAATGACCCTGGCCTGGGGCGTAGCCTAGCCTGGCCTAGCCACAGCCCAGCTCAGATCAAGGCCCACAGCTCTCTGGGCCTGGAGTATGCTTGTATATTTGGCTATTAAAAGACATTCTGGGGTTTTTCTTTAAGGCTTTCTTGTCATGTTTGTCATGCTGGGAATTTGCTGATATTTAGTGGAATCCATTCTTTCCTCTATGTCCATGTCTGTGTCACGATGCTACACAACCTCAAAGAAGAATATTTTCTCCCCCTTAACTGTTGGCAAAGGGGGAGTTACTAAGTTCATGAAATAAAACGTAGTCATTTGCTCAGAGGTGCACAAACCTTTGCATGCAACTGTTTTTTAGACACATTGTGGTGAACTGAAGATCACGTCTAGCAAGACCTCTCTTTTTTTTTAATCAGCACTTTTTATTGGTCGTGATTACTGTTAGGAAAATTATCAAATAAAACTCAGGAACACCGTCTGAAAATTATAAGAGTAGGATATTTATTCTTGCAGCAAGGGAACAAGTTACACACCAGAGCTCACAGTGCAAATGTTCAATGGATGCAAGATTCACACAGAATCTTATACATAGAATACGTGAGAGTGACCTTGCATTGTTGCTGAAATGAGACAGACATAATAGAGCCTTATCATAGTTAATGTTTTGGGGTAGTGGTCAGGAGGAACAGCAAAGGTCACTGCGCTCCTCTCGGACAACACCTGTCTTAAAAGTAAACACAATGCACACAATAATGGAAAGTTCTATTCAGGATAATACAGTTTCCCTTTAAGATGGTTATGTTAATATGTTAATAAGTATCACAATTTTTCCAACAATTACCAAAGCATCACTCTGGTAACACAGCAGCCTGTCTTCAGCACAAAGGAGAATTTCATTCATTGTGTATGTAACGACACTCATGACCTAACATTGCTTCTTAGACTCAGAATAACTGAGTAACATAAAGTATAAAGGGAGCTTTTGAAGAGAAGACAGAACACACTGCAACAAATTAACATACAAAGAGTGAGATAACAAATAATAACCAGTAGAAAATAATGTGAGTTTAAACTCTAGAGGATGGATACACAGGAATAGGGTGACATGGATAAGTTTTATAGTAAGAGGATAAAGTGCAGGTAAGGGTGTATATGATTTTTTATTAATTTGTTTGTTTATTCATTTATTTTTGTGGGAATTCAGATTTCAAGTATATTCCACACTCCGGAGCAGAAGGTGGCGGTAATGCACCAATAAGCTGGATGCCAACCGCCGTAAAACAAAAAGAAGAAGAAGAACAAGTAGAAGAAGAAGAAGAAATTGGAGAAGAAGAAGATGGCACGAAGTATCCACCGTTTGTTCTATTCTTTGACAGTTTAGTTGCTCATTATCGATGGGATAAATAATTCTTCATATTATAATTGCATATGAGGTAAGAGAGACGCCTTTAAGTGACGCATAGCACTTAACCGCTGCCAGTGTTATGTGGAGTAATGAAATTCAGGAGCTTTGACTTGACTCGATAGCTGCATGATGCTACCTAACGCTACTTTGTGTTGTTAGTAAACGGCGGGTCATCTTTAATGCGCACGTTATTATAAATCAGAACATAACTGAGACACACGGCCCCAGGTTTCACTGTTGCTAACTTTCTCTGCCATAGCGAAACAGTCATAGAAAATAATAACTAATGTTAGCTCGGAATTTATAAATAGTCACATGGTTGTAACTAGTGCTGCAACTACCCATGAACTTTTGCATCGTCGATTAATCTGTTCAAATGAAAAAGAAATGCATGTTGTACTTTCAGGCAGCCCGAGGCGATGTATTTAAATTGCTCGTTCTTTTCGACTGACAGTTTACTACGAGTTGTGATTCAGCAGTGTGATCATTATTGAGGATGTAGTTTGTGGTACTGTTGAACTGGGTTGTGTTATACAAAGAGGTGCCTGTTATTTAGGCCAGCTTCAGTGATATAAACGGGATGGACAAACTAATACTTCTCTTTAAAACAGTTTCAACAAAAACTGAAGATTATAACCTTCATTCATGAAGTTAGGATTTAATGCAGGGCTCTTTTATTTAATTTTAGCTATAGGTATAACTGATAAACTGCTAACTGAGTGTACAAAAATGTAAGCATTGAGAGGAAATACCTCATCAAGGTATTTAAGTCTTTGTTTCAAAGCACATGTTATGTTTACAGATGTAAGATTCTGCATTTCTGCAGGCCACTACTTCACTGTAGCTTTTTTCTGAAGTCTGATATTGAGTTTTTTAGCTGTGACTATCCCACAGGAGATCACAACCCTTCATTTAACTTAGTTGCAAACACAAAACGGGGTTGTATGGTGTCTCAGGAAACACAGGCTTGTTTGCAGCTCTAATGTTTCATTACTTATACATCTCATTGAAAAAATGTCTTGTCATATGCACAATGATGGATGTCTATACTGAGGATATGATTATTAATGTTGTAACATTTTTTTTTAAACCAGTGATGGATCCAGTTCACCCTCTGGAAACACTGCATAGTCATGGTGATCATGACAGTGTCGATGTCACCTCCTGGGTGTCAGTGTGTCCCAGAGGACTCTGGAAAGTCCAGAAAAAGCAAACACATAAGGAGAGTCAACGAACTGTGTCTAAATCTGGATATGTTACACGTATGTAGCTCTCCTAACATTACTTCTTTCCTCAATATATGATCCATTTTCAGTCCATATTTTTAGAATAGAAATGTGTTTAGTATCTAGTAATTTAGCTCACATAATGTCTCTGTCTTTTCTAGCATGTTCAGCTGGTTACTGTCCAAGGCTGGGTTCACTGTGTCAAGTCCGAGTGCGGCTCAAAGCTAACATGGATGAAACCGAGAATTCAGTATCTGACAAGGGAAATGAGAAGCTGGCAATCCAATCTGACCAGTCAGTCACTGAAGTCACAGAAGCAGTGGAAACAGCCTTCCCAAGGTGTCAGGACTCTGTACTGCAGGTCCCACTGGGTGACTGGACGACGCTGAGGCTGGGGGAGGGTCAGTGCGATATCACAGAGGCATGTCTGGAGGGAATGAGAGCAGGAGAGAAATGTGAGGTAAGAGTGAGGAGAGTGTGGAGAAATCATTTAGTGTTATTCCCCCCAAACTCAACTTTTGGTGATAATATTGTTTTTACAAAAGTCTTTGCAAATTGTCAGTAAAAACTGACAAAATCGCTCATTAGGATTTTTGTTTTGCATATTTAAAGAGTATGTGATTTTTGCAATATCATGATATATACTGATATTATAAAGCATTCTCATCAATATTCTGAAATAGATTTTTAGGCTTATTGCCCAGTCTTAAAATCCTTTCCCCATACTTCTCTCTTTCTTAATCAAGCCATGGTAACATATTTATATACATTTATGGACATACAACATATTCTGAATATTGCTTTAGGTAAACAGTGTAATCTATAAAGATGGATGGGCTTAAAGTAATCATTTTTATAACAGTCGTACCAGATGATGCTATCAGGTCCCCTCAATACATGAAAATTAAAAATTGGAATGCAAATATTTTGCTGTCACACAAAAGGTATTTTAAGTACTTTCAAATTGTATATGCCACTTGATTTATAACATTTTCCCACTTTTATGGAATCATATTGTCAGTAAGCTGTTTTGTTTTAATATCAAGGCTGTCCAGCGGCACTCAAGACAGATCAGTCTCTATAAAAAAAAAAAAACTTGTGTTAATTGTTATACTTGTTATAATTTGACAGAGAAGAGCAAAAGTGACAATGTGGAGCAGATGCCTGAAAAGAAGCCTTTAGTTAGGAGAGTGTCAAAGAGAAAATAGAAAATAGAAAATAAGCATCTTGCCAATCCTGATTAGGTACAAATTTTCCCATGCTCCCTGACAAAATGCTCACTGGGTAACTGGTAAGCAATCTCACGTTCCTTCTATTGTTGCTTTCCTTTCTAATGTTCTTGATTAAAGCTAAAAGGCTAAATGCACAAACTGTGGCATTATTCATTACATTATTTTCTTATGGTTTCTTCTTTTCTAAGAATGTAACAATTAAAGTATGCAGGAGGTCTAATGTTTGTGTTTTTCTACCCAGATGCTACTTTCTCCAGCTGGAAATGTCTCTGTTCCTGCAGAGGAACACCTACCTTTATGTGCCACAGTTGAACTCCAAGCTTTCACGCCAGGCAAGGAATCCTGGGAGATGTCTCCTGGTGAAAAATGGGGGTGGGTGAAGTCCCACAAGGAGAGGGGTGGAGTAAGATTCAGGAGTGGGGATGTGTGGGGAGCTGCAGACAGCTACAGCCGAGCCCTTAAACTCCTCATCACTCTCTATGGCCATGTCAGAGAGCTGGAGAAAAAAGGAAAAGAGCAAGAAGCAAAGGAGCAGAGAGACACAAGCAGTGGTGATGAAACACAGCACCTTCCTTCAGCTCATGAATTCAAAACCATCAAAGCAGAGCTCCACTCAAACCTGTCTTTGTGCCAGCTAAAACTGAACCAACCAGAGCAGGCTAAGGCCAGTGCGGCTAAAGCCACTGAGCTGGAACCTTGTGGGGCTAAAGCCTGGTACCGGTTGGGCCAGGCCTGCCAGAAGGTGAATGAGCTGGAGGAGGCCAAGCAGGCATTTAGAAAGCTACTGGAGCTGCAGCCAGAATCACCTGCTGCTTTGAAGGCACTTAAGGACATAGCAAGTAGGGAGAGAGAGACAAACATACAGTTGGGGCTGAGACTCAGCAAAATGTTCAGCTGAAGAATAAATATTATCATTTTGTCATCAGATATTATCAGCAGAACAGTATGGGATTTCTCCTTATTCACAATTAACTGGAAGTGCATCTGTAGCCACTGCTTCAGCTCAAATGTAAAGCCATTAATCTGTAGATGCATGTTTTTCTCCCAACTTTTTGCTGATTGTGTGAATTCCCTGAATGTAACTTCAAAGTAAAAACCATGTGTCAACAATTTATTTTGAACCAATGAATGTGCTCATCTGGGAGTGTGGTGTTTGAGATCATGGTGGTATTCAGTTGTGAAATGTATCGAAGCACATTTACTCAAGTACAGTGCTTAAGTACGAATATGCAGTACCTGTGCTTTACTTGTGCATTGTCTTTTCATGAGTTATTATACTTATCCTTCACCACTTTCCTGAAGGAAATACTCCACTATAATTATTTGACAGCTGTAATTATTAGGTACTTAACAAATTCAAATTTTACATACAAAACCTTAGTTGATTCATGTTTAATAAGTCAGTCAATTGTCAGAAAAGTCTTTTTTTTTTCATGCAAAAATTACAAACATTTCATGGTTCCAGCTTCTCAAATGTGAGGATTTGCTGCCTTTTCCTTTTAATCATTTTAATATTTTTTTATTAGACAAGGAGTGTGAATGCACCATTGTTATGGTCATTTATCATTATTTTCAAACATCATTAATTGCAGTCTTTCATCGAATTAAGATTTTGATCCATCTCAAATAGGTACAGCAGTAAAAATGCTACTGCCATCTTTCTGCAATACAGAGTACCTTCACCTAATGCCTTAAATGCATTTTCCTGATTATGCTTACAATTACTTACATAAGATTTTCAACACAGGCATTTTACTTGAAATGGAGTTGACTATGGTTAGAGTGTAGTATTGATAATTTTAGTTAAGTAAAGGATTTGAATACTTCCTCCACGACTGGTAGTATTCAGTGTGCAGTACATGAAATGAGGGCTGAAAAAATGCAAATGTTGTAGGTGTTGTATTTAGCCACAGGGTGGCAGGCTTCATCTGTCGATTGCATAGTAGATTGTCTGACTGGTCTTCTCTGTGCACACGGCTACGCTCTGCTGTGTTGACTCAAAATGCCGAAACCCGGGATCGAACCAGGGACCTTTAGATCTTCAGTCTAACGCTCTCCCAACTGAGCTATTTCGGCGTGTAGTATCGACTCCATACCGATATTTGAAAATCTTAACACACTGTACATACAAGTGGTTATGTCATAAGGAGAGAAAAGAGATTGGTGTCTCATGTCTCAAACGTACTAATGTAATGTTTTCATAATCTGTGGTTTGAACACAATGAAAGCCGTATTATCGATATATTTCTGGTGTGTGATATTGTGTTAGATCGATTGTATGTAAATTTTTCCTCACTTATTAAGAGGACCTTAAAGGACCGTATGTGCTATCTGCCCTTTTTCCACCAAAATTAGCGGGTGTAAGCGGGTTTTTTAAACGCGGATAAACTCTAATAAAAGCCGATTCACCCCTTTCCCACTTTTAGTCGAGCCTCTCTGTTCGGACCCAGGTTCGGACTGAGGACACACACAACTGCAAGGAGCCATGTCATCACATGCAGTTACAGAGCACATACACGGAGGTAGGGGCGAGAGAGAGTGGGCTGCTAGCTGCCGTGCAAACTGGTCAAACGGATCTGTCTCATCCCCGGTTTACTTCTATTGTAAAAGGGTAGGGGTCTCCATGTGATATGCTTCATTTGGTGATTGACTGGTTTAACATGTGGTGACATGTCTGTTTACAGTGTCTGTCTCTGAAAGACGTTGCAGCAGAAAAAGGGGTGACAAATTTGCAGGTTCAACCGGGTGTTGTTTACGTCAATGCCGATAGGAGCCGGAGCCGATAAATACCCGTATCTACTGCAGTCATTTGACTCAGGTGTAAATGTCGATTGTACCCCTTTCCTTTGCTGACAAAAGCCCAATAATAGCGGGTTTTAGTGTTTTTTATGACCAGTGGAAAATGGGCTTCAAATGTTGCAGGCGTTGGGTTGAAGCCCTAGGTTGAAGGCTCCCTTGAAAGGTAGATTACACATGTGCACACAATGTAAAATATTGTGGCGTAGTGGACACGGTCAGCAACTGTGTGAAGTGCTGTTGATAGTAAATGGTGTAAGGCACATAACCAGTGGTGATGAGTCTTATTTGGATTTAACATACTCAGATTACCCACTGAAGTGAATCTTCAGTCTTTTGTTAGCAAAAAACTAATACTAATATACTTGAATATTGGTTCTGTGTGAAGATGTACTTAATGTCACCTAAATCAGTTTTCAGTTCATTCATGAAGTTATGCAGCTTAAAGGAAGATGAAGATGAAAATATTTATTTTGCTCTTCTCCCTAAGGCTTCACCAATCCAGAATAAAATCAAAAACTTTATTATCATAGGCACAAACAACAAGTAGCACTCTAAATTCAACTTCTGTTATTTGCCAACAGTTGTTATCAAATTCAAAATGCAGTGCAACAGGTACAGCATGACAAACCTTAGATGAGATTTGTCCAACTCCAACAAAGTGAACATTTCTTTTGCTTCATATTGTTTTATTTTTTTATCAATACAAATTGTATGCTCTTCTCTGTCTTCTTTCCCTTTGTAGTGTCCCACAGTCCTACAGTCAGTTTTGCCTGTTGCCGCTCACTTCCTCTTCGCCTTGTGTGACTTTGTGTTATCTATGTGTGTCTGGGCTGCTGACATCTGTGTCCATGCATCCACAATGAGCACCAGTGGTATGACGATCCACAACACATTCATAAACACAAAGTAGAACCAGAAGTAGATTGGATGTCCCAACTCACTGTGAGCATAGCCATCTCTGTGCTCTGTGAAGAAGTAAAGCACCGCTCCGTACAGCTGACCTGGAATCAGATTGTGTGTCAAGACCCAACATATACATATTATAGACATTCACTGGATTCTGATAACTTGCAAGAGAGGCCCACATTTCCCAAAGGGTCACTTTGGGTCACTCTGGTCATGGACACTGACATTCAGTTTATCTGTGAGTCTAGAGATGCTTTAACAACCTAATCAACCCACAGCTGAAGTGTTATAGCACATTCTTACCTAATGAAATGATGAGCTGCAGTACAAATCGGTAGGGCTTGTTTGTTAAGAAGGCAAACACAGCCCAAAAGCTGAATGGTCCCCATAACCAAGCAGTGACGGTCTCCATACAGACAGTAAAGTTATCAGCTCTAGGGAGAAAAGAAATATGCAGGGCGCAATTACTTATAGCATTGTTCCTTCTTTTTAAGCAAACATTTAACATCATTTTGTGCAAAGATGAACTCACATTACATATCGACTGTCTCCTTTGGAGTACTCTTTCCCTGTGAGAGAGAGATATTAAACATACTGTGTTTAAAAAATCACTTCCAATACGCAACATATGATATAATACTAATGCACTTTATTTTAAAGCTTTTTTTTGTTTGTTTGTATACTCACAGAGCTGTGAAAGGAAGCTCTGGTCTCCTGGAATAATATCATAATACAGTGAGAACCAGCCCTCAATGACACCATGGATGAAACCACAGACAGCAAACCAGCACATAGCCAGACGCCTCCATGTTCCCAGCCTGCCAGTGGCCCCTTTCTGGCCGGAGATCAGCCAGGTCACAAGCAGAAACACTCCGGACACAGAAAACAGAAACACCAGGATCTCTGACATAGACCGGTCATTGGCAACATAGGTGGGAATCAAAAGGTCCCTTGGCCAGTAGGGATGAAGTACTCCAGTTGCTGAAGAGGCATCCATGATCTGTTTAAAGAAATTATTTTAAAAAACATCCACAATAGGCTTAAAACTGATTGATTTCAACAATTCCATAGATAACTTGCACTGAGACGATTAAATTTTAGTCATTTATCACAAATTTAGGTTATTGGAGGTAAGATTTTATTCAAGGAGCCCAACAACACACAAAAGCAATAGTCAATGTGTCCTTACCAGTGATGATATTAAAATGGGTTTACTGCAGTGCAGAGTTTAACCTCTGTATTGAATAAAGAGTATTATTAAAAAAAATACTGCAATAGATGCAATAGTCCGTTACTGTTTTAACTACATGCCATACTAGTGCAGATGAAGTCAAACGCGGAACTCACTTGAGCAGGGGGCGGCTACTGGTGATTACAATCACCAATCAGAAGATCGTATGCATAGACCTACCGGCACATGCGATCTACCGGCACGTTCAGTGGCTCTTCATCTCGGAACATTGACGTTGTCGTTGGCAACCACCAATGAAAGTGCGCCTCTTACTCTGACAGACTGTCCCCTTTTCATGTACAGAGCCGTGTTTCACCACAGTGGGTGAAGGGTAAATTGCTGCACTTTATGTAACGATATTGCATTTAAAGTATAATGATTTTACAAAATGACACAATATTTCTAGTGGTGGGACGTGACTTAGTGCATTGTACTTAGTACTTGAATGCAATTTTTAGGGACTTGTACTTTGCTTGAATATTTAAATTTATACTTTCTATTTATCAACTCTACTCCACTAAAATCCAGAGGCAAATACTGTACTTACTACTGCGCTACATTTATTTTATTAGTTAGCAGTTACTTAGTAGATTCTGTTTATGTACACAGAATATAATTGATAAACAAATAAATTATGATAGATAGATGGATAGATCATATTAACGAAGGACATGACACTGAAATTGTTCAAAGAGCATGAACATAAAAACTGAAATACACGAGAAGCACATTAAACTGTTAGCAACTGATAGCAACTGTTAGCATTGGCTTTAGGGCAGATTGAGGATACTGTATACATTTCTTAACTGACATATGCTTTATTTTACGGCAAGCGGTTGCAATATTTTAGACCTAGTGTTTTTGCGTGAGGAGGAAAAAGTTGTCCTCCCAAGCCGTGTCAGGGATTTATCCCTGCCGTGACCCGGATTCGAACCGGGGTTGCTGCGGCCACAACGCAGAGTACTAACCACTATACGATCACGGCGAGCTACTGGGAGTCATGCTACGACAAGGCACAGAGGGCTTTATGAAACTGTTTGAATTAGGTAGTCATCTTTACCATTTATGGGTAAGTCTGTCTCGGTTAAAATAATCTGCCGTCAGCCCGCGGGATGACATTTTTTTTGCTACATATCCACGCTACTCTAATCGTTGGTGGACTAAGCTCCATATGATACACTAATGGTAACGGTGATATTTTTTTATGAGGAGAGCAGCTTTATTTTAAACGCTTCACCGCTGTTGTTATCGTTAAGGCTACAGATATCTGCCATTATCTGTAATATCCTTGTGACATAAACGTATCTTTAAACGTTCCTAGCAATTTATAAAATAAAAAAGTAAAACAGCATATCTTTCACTATAACATTGTTGTTGCACAGTCCTTGTTTCACTAATTGCACATTGAGGGTTGTACCGTGTACCTTAATGTTAGCTTTAGACAGCCTTCATATTAAAGTAAATTTGAAGTTTCCTTCAGGTTGAATTGTGAAATGCAACTAGGTACATTAGCTGACGAAGTGTACTAACTTTGATCTACTTGTACTTTACTTGAGTATCTGCATTTTATGCTACTTCATAATTATACTACATGTCAAAGGGACACTGGTATTGGTTCTTCAAGTCAAGGTTGTGAGTACATGCACCGTATATTTCAAGTTCAAGTTTGTATATAATATGAGGTAGAATAACAGTCCCATATGGTCTAGCGGTTAGGATTCCTGGTTTTCACCCAGGCGGCCCGGGTTCGACTCCCGGTATGGGAACTACCTTTTTGATCATTTTGGATTATGTTTTAAAAGAGCCTACCTATTATAAAGACAGTTTTTTTCACGAGCATGGTTTTGCCATACCATTTCAAACAAGGGCTAAAAAATAACAGTTAATGACAGTATGAACAGTTCGTCATGTAGATTATTAACAAATATACAGCTGGCTTTTACAGTATTGGCTGCTATGAAAATACGTAGAAGTAAATCTCGAATGATCTATTATACTTTCAAAGTTGTAATACCGATAGCGTGATCTTAAAATGCAATTGTTTTACTGCAATGGGGATTGTGTCTGCACGTGATCTAAATCATGTGACACATGCTATACGGAAGTAGTGGAGTGCAATTTATTCTAACCTTGGACGGCTGATTTATAGTGAAAACGACGGTGGTAAAGGCTGTATGAGAAAGGATTTGAGCTAGTAGAAAAGCCGACATGGGTATCTCAGAACTGGAGGAATCTTCTCTGTCACTGGACGGAAAGCTGCTCCGTTTCATGGACCAGCTGGAGTTACTGGAGGAAAAACGAGCCACTCTCAACTCTCTCATAGAGCAGGTAGCACAGAAAACCGTTCAGACTTTACCTGTAATTTCCTTCAGCGAGCTCGCCACCCTCATATATCTATATCTTTCCATATTGTGTGTCTAAAAATGTATAAAATGTGCACAAAAAAGATTTAGAAGACGCAATCCTTTAAAAATAGAGCTGAAACTGTTCATTTATCAATTTGTTGATTAATTTGGTAATTAATTGAATGTTTGTCAAAATTCACTGGTTCCACCTTCTCAAATCTTAGTATTTACTGTTTGTTATGTTCTTCTATGACAGTATCTTTTGGTAATGTACTGATGGTCAGACAAAACAAGTCATTTCAATATGTTGGTTTGGGCAGGATGACATTTTTCAATATTTTCTCATATTTCATAGTCCATTAATAATCAACAGATTCATAGATGATGAAAATAATTAGTTATATCACGGCAAACATATGTATGTACCACAGCTGCAGTGATTAGTCGATTAATCAGTTAGCTGAACGAAAAAAAACAGTCAACTATATTGATAATTTATTGTTTAAATCATTTTTCAAGCAAAACTGTCAAACATTTGATGGTTCCAAGTTCTCAAATGTGTCAATTTTTTGTCAAGTTTTTCTTGGTTTTTGCAATATAACGAATTGAATATTTTGGGGGTCTTGTATTTTTGATAGGACTGTATCTATAAGACTTTTAATGACCTTACAATGAGGTTCAAGATCATGTGAAGGGTATTTTTAGTTTTCTCATGTCTTATAGATCACTTGATTAATAGGGGAAATCATCATCATATTAATCAATAATGAAAAAAATCATTAGTTGCAGCCGTGGTGTGTACAGTACTGTCCAAAAGTTTTAGGCACTAAAAGTAAAGTAAGGATGCTTTTAAATATAATTCTTTGAATAGTTTTATTTATCCACTGAACAGAAGAAAACCCAAATCAAAATAATATTTGGTGTGACCACCCTTTGCCTTTAAAACAGCACCAATTCTCCCACATGCATGTGCACAGTTTTTCATGGTGCTTGGTAGGTGGGTTGTTCCAGGCATCTTGGAGAACTGTCTCAGTGTCTTGTCTCTTCATGTAAACTCAGACTCACTCCATGATGCTGAGATCAGGGCTCTGTGGGGGCCAAACCATTTGTTGTAGGACTCCTTATATGGGAACAATCAGGTGCTTCTCTGATGCTACGGAGTGACGGATAAGATTCTAAACATCTAAAGAGCCTAAAATGAATGTAAAGTACTGTATATGTGTAGGCACCCTTAAATATTTGGCAATGTAATGTAATTTAATGTGTGCCTACTATACTAAGTAAATCTATTAATCAGAGTCAGGTTTGATACATTCTCTGCAGGTTTTGCAGCTGAATATTTTTTTTACCAAGACTGTCGTGAACCCAAAACTGTCCTCCAACATTCAATCAGAATGAGTCTACTCCCTCAGAAGGATACTCAATTTCCATATCTGCTAGTTTACTGATGGTTCAGGATTATTCCTACACAATCTATTTATCACTCTATCTTTCTTAAGTTTCACAACATCAATTTTACTCTTTATCCTCTTCATCTACTTTAGCACCTATGTGAAATGTAAAGTTGCCATTATATGTTCCCCACAGGGATGGTTCACCATGTCCAAGGCACGATATTCCATGGGAAACAAACAAGTCTCTGCACTTCAGTATGCAAGTGAGATTGAGCCACTGGTCTGTGTTCATGCCAGGTGAGGAATTAGACGTGTGGAAATTAATGCTCCAATGTGAATCCATGTGCACTGTGAGTTTTGGAAAGCCTTTTTATGACTGGGACTTGTGTGTGTTACAGAACTCTAGACAATGGGGAGGTGGACTTCTGCACAGAAAGAGTTACACAAAGTAAAGAGTCTGGAAAAGATGTGAGGTCCATAGAGGATATTGGACCTCAAGAAGAAGGTGAGTCTACCATGGTCTGTGTGATGCTAACAATATATCTTGTTTACATCCACCATTTTTTTTTTTCAAATTCATTATATTATTTAATTTCACAGGTGTCAGGAGAAGAAACAAACCTCAAAAGGATATCACAGAAAAAGAGGCAAATGATAAAGCAGAGAGTCAGAAAGCTCCTGAAGTAACTCCAGTCAAACGAAGTGACCAGAATCCTCAGCAAGATCCACTGAAATGGTTTGGGATTCTGGTGCCACAATCGCTTAAACAAGCGCAGTCGTCATTCAAGCAAGGTATCATGTTACGTGTCCAAACAAGTGTATACGATTTGGGTTTAAGGTGAGACCACAGTAAAGGAAATGGTATGTGATTACCTCTGGATGCAGCCAAAGTTACTGCAGGTCATCATATTGAATTGATGTTGTATGCAGATATAGCCAAGGATAGATATAGTTTTCTTTCACAAAAGCAGCACTTTACAGTGTACCAAAACAACCATGTTTCAACAGTTGTACATATCGGTTTACTCTACTTGAGATTCTTACAGTGATTCAACACAATGCAAATAGACAAAACACAAGCAAATGAAGAAAATAAGAAAATATCTACACCAACATGACAGCACATGCACTGAGACGCTGCAAAGAAATAAAACTCAAAAATGGAGAAAAAATTGAGAACACACAAGCAGCGTAACCAAATCCCTACAATACAGAAGACACAACCAAAAAAAAAAAACAAGCAAAATAGAAAAACATTTTAGCTGACTGCCTGTCAGTGTTGTTGGAAAATGAGCCAATGTTTTATTTCAGCTTTAACATTCTGAGAGTTTGTGTTTACAAGACTCAAAATTCAAATACACTGACAAAATACACATAGACTATGTTTGCCAGACTAACATAGACACTCATCTCCGAGTGTGCTCATTGGTTTTTAGTATGTCCCGTAAACTTCTCATGTAATGCATCTCGGTTCAGTTTTATTCTGTGCAACTTCAGGGTTTCTGTATTGTGTTTGTTGTGTTGTGTTGTATTTTCTCTGTTTGCTTGTGTTTGTTTGTGTTGTCTGTCGTGGAAATTTTCTGCTCTTGGTGAAGAATGAAATAGAGACTTCCGTCGGCCGACAAGGTTTTATTTTCTTTGCAAAGAAAAGGTCAATCAACATGTGAGCGGTTCAAAATGAAGAAAGACCCCAAGCATGGGGAACCTTGAACATTTATACCTGAGGGAAAAGCCCACCCCTGGGGTCTGTTTCACGTCCTTTGCCTGTTGTGGGGTCGGCCTCTTACCAATGGTGTGCTTTCACACTCTTTTGTCTTTCGCAGGTATCGGCACCGACCCCCTGAAGTGTGAAGTAAAGAGGTCTAGTCAACACAATTTAAAATACAAAAGGGTTTGAATATTGATGAGAAAGTGCGAGTTTGGGTGTCTCAGGTAGTTGAAATGCAAAGGAATTGAATTTACAATTACAATTAAAAGCCTGATATCTTGGTGAGAAGGTGGGAGGTTGGGTATCTTACAAAGAAGTTGAAATTACAATTACATGTCACACAGTTTGCAGCCCATCTCTGTATTTGGCTGTGTTTTCTATATTTGCACCATGCGATCACATTGGTAAAGATGTTTTCTTCATTTGATTGTTATTTGTTTATTTGCATGTGTTTTCTTTAGCTGCTGTGTGATGAGCTCACATGGCCACATTTGGTTCTAGTGCACAGTATACTGAGCCCACAGGAATGTGTATACTCCCAACAATAGATGGATATAGATGTGTATATGTAGATAAATTAACTACCAGTAAATAATTTTCCTCATCTTTCATCTTCTTTCTTTTATTTCTGTCATACTACAGTTATAGAGCTGTCCGCTGAGATTGCAACCCTTCAGACTGCAGTTTTGAACAGCAGACGGGAGCTGAGGAACAGCATGAAAGACAAACACGTTCTCGTGAAGACAACCTCAGCTGCTCAGATGGACAAAGTGGCAGACTGAATAAAGGCAAAGAGGCAAAGCTGGAGAGATGATCTGAGAAGAGCCTGTGGCCACAGAGAGCGACTGATGGAGTCAGTATATACATTTCAGGGCCCAGTGAACTTTAACTGCTGGATTTTTAAGTGAAGATCACAAAAGTAGCTGTTCCTTCTTTATGATTAATTGGTATTAGATCCTGTTGTGCTGGGTTGACTGATAAATGTGCTTCTTGTTTGAGATGGATGTGTTTGTGAACGCTGTCTTTGAGGATTTCTCAGGATCAATTAAGTCTGTGCTTTTGACTTTAATATATTCAGAAATCTAGAACCTGTTTCAATAAACGATCACCACCACTTTGTGATGAGGCAGCAAAGGGTTTATGATTTGAATCTAGGGGCTTCATTAATTATGAATATTCGTATTATGAATAATAAATTATTAATAAATCATTTACTGATGCTTCATAGATCAGTTATAAGCTAATAAGAATTGTAGCTTGCCAGGTTTTGGGAAATGCCTTTGTCCAGTATTTATCGCTTTTATTTTGTATATGTGCAGTTGTAATGCTAAATAAGTAGATTTTGGTCCAGATCCTCTGCAGCCATTTACCTCCTGTAAAGGTAAACGGCTTTGTGTCAGTGGGTTGTATTCTATATTTATTTTTGTTGTCTGGTTTGGTTAAAGCTCTTTGTAGCACTGATTTTTTTGTAAGTACAGAGAAAGTTTATTAAGGTCCAATCAGTGAGGGTATTTTTCACATCCTGGCAACCCAAACGGTGTTATTAATGGTTTATAACTAGTTAGCAAAACATTAGGTTTAATTATTATTTAATAACCATTAATAAGGCAATTACTTCAAACTTCTTAGCTCTTAATAAAGAATTCCTTTTTAGACAGTGGTACCAAATACTGTCTTATTCTATTTTTTTTTTTATTAAGTCCTATGTTTAATTTAAAATAAACATCTGGTGTTACTTTCAACTCGTTTATGAAATGCTACTACATCAGGAGAAAACTGCCTCCTCTTATTATAACGACATGGGTATAATTGAAAACATCTGACCGAGCGCCACCACCCTCGGATCCAAGCATCTTGACTAGGGACAGCCGAACATTACCGGGAACTGTCGAAATGGGATACGAAACTCCCGTTTATTGTGTGTACTTCCTGGTCCAATTATAATACTGTCTACATACCTCCATGAAACACCGCTCTGCCTCCCCTCCACTTGCGTCCGATCGACGGATGGGAGCGCAGAAACAACGGATGTAGCCTCACTGTTAGATTATTGATGTTTCCAGACATCCGCAGCAGCCCGTTGTAGCCTGATTGTGGCCGATTTCGGACGTGCGAGCGACGCTAACTCCTGCCTGAAATTCAATTTTCTTTTGTCTGCGCAACTGGCAGCAACATTTGTTGATGTGTGATCAGGGGTTGGGAAGTAAACACGCTGGCCTGCGCTCATGATCAGAGCCGAGGTGAGATTGATACCTCACACTCAGATTGCCCTTGATCGCAAGTTGATTTTACTCCGGAGCAGAGGAACTGTTGGCTCCAATGGCGTCAGTTTCGAAGGTGTCTATTCTGGATTACTTTAATATTGTGTTTGAAGGTGAAAATGGTAAAATCGAGTCCAACTGCAAGGCTTGTGGCACCAGAATCCAGGCGAAACGGAGCGTCACGTCCAACTTCGTAACACATCTCAAGGTAATGATTTCAAAATAAAATGTATTGTGTGCATGTTAACATGAACGGACGAATCCTCTACACTTATTCCCAGTCTAATATTTCTGTCAGCATCAGCTAAACCAGCTGACCCTACAGCATCTTTTTTTTTTAATGTATACTACACAGTGTCAGCTGCATAAACCTGACTGTAAAGACAGCCAGGTTTAGCCACACTGTATCTTCTTATAGCTACTGATATTTAGACAAGACAGTATGGTGAAGAGATGTACACACCTAAGCGCTGAATGAAGTGTTCTACCTGTCAACCAATAACATTGCTGTGTCCCTCTCTATCTCTCTCCCATTCAGCGGAAGCACCAGGCTATGTATGATGACTTTGTGAAAAGGAAGGATATGAAGAGAGAGGGTTACTCCTCTGGTTCCCTGCACAGTTTCACCAGCAATGGAGGGAATACCCGCTACACTCTTCCCATCAGTACTGGAGTGGGAGGAGGAGGAGGAGGAGGAGGAGGAGGTGGTGTTGGAGGAATGGGAACTGTGGAGGGAGTAGGAGGAGGAGGTTCAGGAGGAGGGGTGACCAAGTTTGACAGACATGACCCACGTCAGGTGTGCATTATAGTCCGTCACCACTTGAGATGCAAATAACTGTCCTACTATTTATGTAATCCTATAACAAGTGTTACTTTATTCAATGTGGCATTGCATCAAATCATCTGCTGTAAAATAAGGGTCATTCACACTGGGTTTTGTCACCATAGGTTTTGATCTCTGAGGCCATAGCTAAGATGATTGTGCGTGATCTGCAGCCAGTGTCCATAGTGGAAAATCAAGGCTTCAGAGAGCTGCTGCAGCTCTTGGAGCCACGTTACACTCCAGAGCCTCAGCACTACATCCACAGCCAGCTCCTCCCAGCCTACGCCTACCAAGTCCAGCTGACTACCCGTCAGGCCCTGGCTTCAGCACACGCCCTCAGTCTCAGCCTGGATCTCTGGAGGGGCTTTTCTGGAGCCACATCAGGGTAAGGATGTAAAATCAATATATAAACAACACGATTCCAACTTGGTTTGAGTGTCTCTCTGCTGAGTCTTCTGTCTCTCTCCGTAGGTACCTCGGTGTCACCTGCCATTTTCTTACATCTGACTGGCAGATGCGTTCAGCTCTGCTGGCGTGCCTTCCCTTGACTGGTGGCAGCTCTGGGAATCGCGTGCTGTCAGATTTTGATGAAGTGTGTCACTCTCATGGGGTGTCAGGGAGAGCATTTCGTGTTGTTGCGGACCCTTTTCTGGCAACAACGACCATAAAGCCATGTTGTCTTCCTGGTTTCCTGATTTCACCTCCTCTTGCTAACCTGCAAGATGACAATGATGAAGAAGAGGTGGGCAATGGTAACGATGTGGAGGAAGGGATCAGGAACGGCCATGGTGATGGGGGAGATGAAGGGGAATGGGAGGACTCATGGGAGCAGGGTCTCGGTGTTTGTCGGGTGGACTGTTTCTCTCGCTCTCTTGAACAGTGTGTTAGAGAGGGGTTACGCTCTTGTCCACATCTCTCCTCCACACTGGCCAAGGCAGCCTGTTTCTACAACTACATTACCTCTGCTGTCCCACCTGAGAAACTCAGCCAGGTGTTTGATGGCATTGGGCTGACAGTGGGGGGGCCACGAACTACCCTTCCTGCAGTAAGAGACTGGGCTGCTCAGCTTAAGGTATGTAATGTTATCAAGTCCCTGAGTAGTATACAGAAGAGGGGGGTCATGATATCAGATTAGTGTGGCCAAAAGAATATCCCAATAACAATATTATCTGGATAACTATAGAAAATTTGAAAAACAAAAATATCAGTCAAATTCATCTTTACCTTTTGTGCATGTGTGTTTTTTTCTATTTTTTGGCAAATTAATTAGACTAAAATTCAAGTGTAGGGAGGTGGAGAGAAAGTCTGTAACCATAACTCAACAAAAGCACACAAAAAGAATGAACTGATAAACAAAAACACCCTCAAGGCCTAACATCTGCCATCATGATATTATCATGTGTATTATTAACACAATATAAATATTTAATCTCAACATTGCATGTTATATACAATAATTGTAAGCAGATATAAGGGCACGTCAACAATTGTAAGAAGACACATTTTGTATGTGTTGCAGCTGTGTTAAAGCTATATTTTTTAAATATTGTCAATCACCAGCTGCATCAGTTAGTGAGGTTTCACAGGAGAAGTTACAGTAACAAATGCGTCAATAAACACTTAAAATGTCCCAATATGTTCTTCCAGCTACATTATAGTGCTTTATGAACCTTTTATTATTTATTGTTTATATGCTGCTTATAAATGCTTAATAGTATTATACTATTATACAGTATGTGTCCATAATAATTGTTATTATAATTTTTGACTGTGGCTGTGTTATTAAGGATTATATTATGAGACTCACAAATAGCTTTTTAGCAAGAATAAAATCAAGAGTGTGATGCCATAGTTTTAAAAATGTTTTACTTTTTTGTTTCATTTTTGATGCAGGTGCTTCGGCGGCTGTTGGACTCAGTGGAGTTCCTGGAGGAGGTGAGTGGTCCAGGGGAGCTGGCGCTGGGTGCTTCAGAGAGAGCTCTCCTGAGGGAGCTCACTGACACTTTGGAGCCCTTCACTGAGGCCTGGGACATGGTGCATGGGGACAGACAGGCAGACATACAGACAGACAGACACGTGTCCATCAGCCTGGGGCTGCCGTGTGTCCTGGGCCTTCGGAAGCATCTCTCTGAGACATCAACCCCCCACTGCCCCTCTCTGCTGGTGGGCCTCAGCCAGGCTGTAGAGCGTCGGCTGGCCCCTATCCTGGAGGACCCCCTCTACATCACTGCCACCGCTCTGGACCCCCAGTTCAAGCTCACTTGGAGCAGCAACCCTGACTGGCACAGACAAGTTCTCATAGAGGAGTTATCCAAACATTCCACAGCCTCCAGCCCCATAAACTCCACCACAGACCTACACCCTCAATCCAAGACTCCCCCTGCTCCGGCTCCATCGCCGGTCTCCTCACTTTCTCGGCCCTGCAAGCTGTTCTCTTTTATCAAGCAGAGACCCACAACACAGGCCAAGAGCCTAGAGCAGGAGTTGACCGTGTATCTACGAGAGGAACCCACAGATGAGGAGGCTTTGCATTACTGGCGGCGTAAAGCAATTGACTTTCCTCTGCTTGCCCAAGTGGCCAAGAGGGCATTTACCATACCTGCTTGTGGCACTGTGGTGGGGAGTATTTTCACTACTGCTGGGCGCTGCCTGCGGCCAGAGAGAGGCCGTATCTTACCAAAGAACCTGGAGACGCTACTCTACCTCAAAGCCAACTACAGATTACTATGGACTTAGAGCTAAGGGTCAAACATTTGTTTTAACTAAACAGCAACTGATAGCTTTGTACCTGCAGTAATGTTACTTCTTGGATACTAACCTCTGTTCCTCTCTAAGGAAAGTGAGCTAGCAACATAACACAGTACTCATACTACACTGAGATGGAGTGAACTAACCAGAATTTCAGTGCAGAGGCTCAGTTTTAGAAGGGGTTTCCGGACTACAGTGGGTATGGATCGCTGTCTGTTTACCATGTAGCCTGCATACAGACTATCATACCACATGCTGTGGACTGAAGGGACTAGAAGCAGATCAATACTTATGTATTTGCTTTGACATTATTTTTGCCTGATCAGGGTCTCCAGACAACCACAAGACCACAAACCCCCAAACTCTCTATCATCCCGACCCAAAAGACAGCTTGTGTCTGTACCAGCCAACATTGATATACCAACAATAACCATACGGTCAGTTATTGCATACTGTAGCATATGATTTATTTTCGCTGATATACAATGACCTCAGAGGTTGTGACCAATTCATTGGATGTTGTTTTTGAAGGCGCGTATCAGCAGGTAACCAATAAGTCATCCCTTTATTGTTTTTTTTCTCTATCTCTCTCTGTATGTATGCCTCATCATTGGGACATCATAATAAATGAGTTTCACTTCCTAACATAGAGGTGTGGATAGTTTGCAGATGCAAGTGCATGTGTGCATCACACACCATCTCTTTTTGCCAGAGGAGAAAAGATGAAATCTACCTCATATATCTCATTCTTTGACCCTAATTCATTTATATTTTCCGCTGTCAGTCCTTTATAACTCCACATGTGCTCTGTCAGAGTGGAGGTCAATTCCATTTCATTTTCATTATCAGCACTTTTTTTCCTTTTTCAATTTCATGTCCAATTCTACTTCTGAACTTTGAGGAATTGAAATGAGTTTGACCCTGCCTCTGCCCCACAAGGCTAGCAGAGAATGAGTGCATGTGGCATAACAGAGACTTTTGCTTTTCCTGACCTGACGGAAATATTTTTGAAACCACTTTGCAGGGCATCGCTTTGAAGGAGAAACTGTGAATGTTCCAGTGTGTGTTCGCCTTTATTCAGGGACTCTGTTACTCTGGGCTGGGCCAGTGGGGAGGCAGGGTAATTGCGAGTAATTCCATTACAGTTAGATTTGAGTCAGCAGGCAGACAGCAGTCACATCCTACACGGCCTTTATCCGCACAGCCAACTAGGCCCACAAAACCTTATTGCTTAAGGACTTAGAAATAAATGGCAGAAAAAATATGTGGGCTGCTGTAGCCTTTTTCTCTAATGCTGCATCAGAAGGCACAAAGTATTTAAATGCATTGATTAAGGTTTTGTGATTAATACAGAACAATAAGACAACAGCCTCTATCACCCTGGAGATGAGTGGCTGTGAAAGAATTGCAATGATGAGATGGTATAAGGAATGTCACTAGGATTACGTCTCTTTTTCACCAGCACAGCTTCATCCCAGTGTTACTGTTTTTGTTGTTGATGAAAACTTCAGAGGAAGTGTGCTAATCTGTGTGAGATACAATGAGATTTCCCTCATAGATCACAATTATCAAAGATTTCTGTGATCTTAATGATTATCACCCCGGGATGTCTCTGTGGATTTAGATGTGTCGCTAGATATCTGTGTGGATGTGTCAGTGTGGTTATCTCTGAGAAGTGTGTTTTTGCTCATCCCCACGGGTGTGTTGTTGTTTGTGAGTGTATGTGGAGCAGCTTGAAGTGTTCCCGTCCTCCAGCCCCCACCCCCCCCTGGCTGTGACAGCTCATCCATTCGAGTTAGACGAGCAGGCTGGGCTGCAGTCCTATTGGTAATTGCCTTTGAAATGAATTACTTGGCATAGAGTGAGGCCGAGGGAGTGGAGGAAATTGTAATTGAACTGCCCCCTCCCTCCCACCCTTTCCCTTATGCCTCAAGTTATTACATCTGCAGTGCAGAAAGCCATTTTCTGTCCGTATAGACACACATAGACACAAAAATACACACACTGTTACAAAACCAATTTTCCCCTCCCCCACACAATGGCCTCAGCAGAGGGCCTTATTGATGCAGGGTGATTTCATAGATTGATTGCTCACGGGCACGTGCACACTGGGCCACACTGCACTCCAAAGACAAATATTCTTCTTGCACATTGTGTGTGTTTGCATTTGTTTGTACTGTTCACCTCACCGTCCTTCCCTATTTGGGGTGCCCTTTAGCTGGCCTTGTCATTTGGCTAAGGTGTATTGGGCTGCAGGATGTGAGAGCTGGCACAAACAAAAGTGGTGTTCAGTATCAACAGAGCCCTGGTTACCCCATACACACAGACACACATAACCAAGCATAGTTATTAATAAACTGCCTGTTGCTGGCCTGTTGACAGTTAAAGCCTGATGGATTAAAAAGCTGCCACTGGTTGTGTTTGAGCTAGTGCATTTATACATAAATATGGCATTTTCCTCTCTTAATTTGGCATAAAGTGTTGTGTTGGAAGAAATGTAAGTCCTGTCCTGCCCTACTTCCATCATGCAACACACTGGCACTCAATCTTGTGTTTGGCCTTTTAATAGCCAGGGCATGGAAAGAGGGGGAGTGAGTTGACTGAGGCACTTACCCCTGCCCCAGCCAGACATGCACATGTTGTGACTCCACAGCACACAATAGGATCTATTTCTGTAAATCCACTAGGGTTATCACTCCACTTACACTAACTCTCTCTTCTCTCTCTCTCTCTCTCTCTCTCTCTCTCTCTCTCTCTCTCTCTCTCTCTCTCTCTCTCTCTCTCTCTCTCCCTCCCTCTCTCTCTTTATCTGACACTGTCACCCACTTACACAAAATCATGGCTGACAGAAACAGCCGGCTCAGTGCTAAGAAGAAAGAGAAGAAGGTGGAAACCAAAACGAATGATGAGAAGGACAAAGAAAAAGATAAGGGGAAGGAGAAAAATGCGAAAAAGCCTGACAAAGTTGTGAAGAAGCCAGAGGAGACCCCCGAGCAGCCCAAGACAGAAGAAGAGAAGAGGAATGGGGAAAGTGGAGGGGCAACAGGAACGGAGGCGGGGAACAGTGAAGAAAATGGAGAGTTTGAGCCCATTGAGCTGCCACCGTTTGAAATTGTGACAGGGTGGGTAAGATTTAATATATACACCACAAGAGTTAGAGTCCTACTTACACACCTGTTTTGCTATTTAAAACATCCACTTTTTTCTGTAGAATAAATAGCTCTTCTTTGTATTCTGTGTTTCTATAGGTCATATTGTTCCCCATGTATGTTCTGTACTTGATTTCAGTGAGGAAGGTTACTAATGACTTGCACCTGCCATCCTTAATAACGCAGCGGTAAGAATAGGGATGAGTCACAGAGCTGACACAGATGCCGGCCCGTGCTGTATCACTCCGCCTAGCATCTGTTCCCCCATTCTTTTACCTATGAGCATTAGCTGTTTGATATCAAAGCTATAAGAGATCTATTTGTGTAATCCATCTGGCTATTCATGTACAATATAATAATGGCTCACTTAAAGAAAGGCAGGAAAAACACAAGTACCCCATGTGTTTTTCCTCCATGTGTTGTTTGGCACATCCAGAGATTATGGGATGATTTAAAAGCCAGTAATATTTATAGAAATATCAGTTTACTTGCGGTAGCATCATTAATAGTCTATTCACTGTGTCACCATATATATCGAGGACTCGCCATCATCACTTTTTTACTATCATCAACTGTTTTTATGGTTGAAAAGTTCATCATTTAATGAGAGACTAATGCTCGCAGCGTCAGGCAAAGAAGTGAATGCCTTTTCCCCCGGAAGGGCATTTCCAGTTATCACATTGAAAGGTGACAAATTTCTTTCAAAGTATTGTTGACAGATGCGTCATGCTGATTGTTTTTTCACGTAGTCTTGGTAATCTGGTAATCTATGCACAAAAAATAAGAATAACCCCTATGACAATGACAATTGAGAGCTGTTAAACAAAGTGTTGTGTAAAATCATAGCTTTCATATTCACTGAAAAGGAAAGAGACTGCCTTTCATTAGATTTAAGGAAACTCTTCACTTTCACTACCCACCAGGGAACAGATGAGCCCGTTTTACTTCAAGTTTCAGTTCAGGAATGTGGAGTACTCATCAGGGAGGAACAAAACCCTACTGTGCTTCAGAGTGGATACAGCAGGAGGCAGCACAGAGCCTCTGAAAGGTTATATGGAGGATGAACATGCCACAGCTCACGCTGAAGAGGCCTTCTTTCAACAGGTAAAGAACGCTCACACTCAGCTGTTCTCACTGTTGATCACCATGGAAGATCTGATTTTTAATTCTTTGCAAGCAGTTGCCCGTTTCCATAATGATTTTTCTCCCTAATGCCTCCATAAATCATCACTCTTTCCTTTCCAGGTGCTCCCTAACTCTTCCCAGGAGCATGAAATCACATGGTATGTATCATCCAGTCCCTGTGTGGCCTGTGCAGCCAAGCTGACCGGCATCCTCCAGCAGCGCAAAAAGCTCCGTCTCTGCATATTCTGCTCCCGTCTCTTTGAGTGGGAGCAGCCGGAGATAGTAGAAGGGCTCCGGGCTCTGGCCAGTGCTGGCTGCAAACTGCGGATGATGAAGCCTTCTGACTTCGTGCATGTTTGGGAGACGTATGTGGAGAAGGAGGACCAGAGCTTCTCGCCCTGGGAGGATTGTCAGGAGAACTACGAGTACTATGTTGAGAAACTGGCTGATATCCTCAAGTAGATGTGAGTCAGTAAGTGTGATGTTTGCAGTGCTGTGCCAATAAATAGCTTATTGGGTTTTTTTTTTTTGGCTGAATAATTACTCTGTTTTCCTTGTGTCTTTTGTCCCGTCTTGTTAGTGTTACAGGTGAACAAGATCTCCCCAGTGAATGAACCACAAATCAGCCTACTTGCGAAATCAGCCACCGGTTGAACATATATTTTAATGAACACTCATGGCAACATTTTGTATTTTTTATTTTGATAATTTCATAGGGAGTCACAAGATACTTGAATTTCTACATAAATATATCGTACAGTATCCAAAGAACAAAGCAGTAACTGTTGTTAAAACATTAAATAACATTTGGATGAGCCTAACTTATATCTACTGACATCTGGTGTTTGTTCTAAGAACTGAAACACTATTTGAAGGAGAGCCGATAAATGATCTTGCAGAATATAACATTATGTACAGTGCATGCCATAACTGAAAGCTAACAAAAAGCTAACGATGTATATGATTGATGTTTATCACATAAATAATGTTTCATAGTTTAACAGTACCTTTGACAGTCAGCACATCAATAACATGCTGTCAATTTTTAAAAAAATGTACAATTACCACCAGCAATGTGCAACCAAGTAAAGTCATATATAAAGAACAAATCTATACACAGTCATATTGCAATGATGGGCTGTCCATTGAGCTGGGGTGTAATACCTTGTCAATTATTTGATGAACTTTGGTGCCAACACTGTCCCGAGAGGATGGATCCTACTAAATTTACTCAACTTTTATCTAGCGCTGCTACAAGTCAAAACGTCTCTTGAATGACCTTTAAAACTCATCACTTAAAACATCCCCAATGATCCTCAGGTGTATTTTAAGACTAATACTAACATAGTGAACCTCAGAACGTTAACATTCAGGTGAAAGCAAAACTCAGGTTGAAAGTCTGACTATGTAGAGCTGAGCCAGACAAGCTGATCCTGAGATGTCCAATGATGGCCACCATTCAGAGTTTGGCCTCCACTTTGTGTCTCTTTAATTTTTTGCAAGTAATAAGCATCGTACAATAGCTAAACTGTCTCTCCAGCTTCCATACACTCAAAAATGACCATTAAAGCCTGTAGAAAGTCTATAGACCTTCAGCCTGTAAATGATTAACTACTAAACTGACATGGAAACATCCTCAGTGACTCATTGTTTGAAGGAAACTAACCCTCCGTTGTTTTCTTCTGTGCCCTCAGTCGTCACAGCTAGAAAGACATAAAGATGGAGATGAGGAAAGATGGATCGGTAACATTATGTCTCGGCTACAGAGAAACCGGCACAACACCCTTCATTCATTTGTAATATTACCTTTGTCCTCCTGTGTGGTGATGGGTAGTGGTGTTGTTTCACTGCAACTTGTGCCATTCTCATCCACTTCTGCAGGTCAGATTGGTTTTAAAAAAACCAACCAAGAAAAGCAGAAATGGTCAGTGAGCGATAAACACAGGGAACCTTCACAAATTTTGAAGTCGAAACAACTCACTATCAACTAGCAAGCAGCAAGCTAACCAACTGGAAAAGAAAAAAAAAACCCTGCTTACAGCCAGTCATGTGTCCCTATTTTCTTGTTTTCTTATGCTTTTGTGATTTGCATCACCTTTAGTTCTGGAAAACTTTTCACTATTCTCTGATATTTTATAGACCAAACACATAATAGATTCATTGAGAAAATAATCAGCAGATTAATCAAGAATGTAAATAAACATTAGTTACAGCCCTATTAGGAATAACGGTTTTTAATTTATCGGTTTTAATGGGTCATTTACCTTTAGATGGTGCATTCAGTGATGCATCGGTGATGTACTCAACCAACGGACAAGGTGCATCTGCAGGAGAGAGGAAGGAACTTTAACACAAGGCCACCAAAAGCTAAAGGCCAGCTTGAAAATGTTTGTGGGGAGTTTCACTAACAGAAAATTCAAAAATAGCTCAGAAATGAATTGCTGGTGGGGCAGTGTCTGCAGCATATGCGGAAAGAGTGACCAAAAACCAAAGAGAGGTGTTGTTAGCATACCAGTACGGTCCTTCATCTGAGCCATCGTGAGAAAAAGGTTTTCCTCTTCTGGCTTGTCATCATCATCAGCTGCATGGTAAGAAAAGATAGAAGAAGGCAAATTAATTGTGGCTTTTGTTTGTTATTCTATGATGAAATATATATTATGAAGAGGTCATGATGTCAGGATGAGCTGAAACTCATTATAAAACTCCATCAACACATTAAGATTCAGGTGATAATTACGTGGTTTCATGTCTACAAGCAACCACATTGTCACATAGTCATTTGATACATTGCTGTTAAAACAACATTTATTATAGCTTCTTTGATAATTGATATCAACTGATATTTAGAATCCTGCATTCATTCCATGCATTCAAAATGTCGCAAACTAAAGTAATACCTGGTTTACGGAGGACTCTGAGGACAATGCATCCGAGGAAGACAGCAATGAGGCCAAAGAAGAGTAAGCCAGAGATGGCAAGAAGCAGTCTCCTCTTCAAAACTGCAGATTAAAAATAAAAAAGAGAGAATGAGAGAGAGAGAGAGAGAGAGAGAGAGAGAATATTTGTAGAATAAAAACACAGAAAACTCCCAGGCTTCACTTGTACTCACGAAGGCTCTTGGTCTTGAAAAAATCACTGTGTTTTGAATAAGATGGTCTCCCATTGCGGACGCCATAGCAGGTGTACAGGCTCTGGTTAGGGTCGTTCTGGGGTGTGACTGTGTGCTTCTCAGGCAGATCAAGCAGATCGATTTGTTTTCCCTCCTTGAACCTGTTTAAATTTTGTATGTTGAATTTTCTGCATTTCAGCAAGGCGAGAATCCAGAGGACATACAGTATATGAATGCATTTAGATGAATTTCTTCTATAGTATTAAAGGGTGTTTTTGAGCTGTATTACCATGTGTAGTTCCACATGTCCGTGCTTTCCCGCACCTCACATTTGAGCACCAAGCTGTCAGTTGCAAAGACCTCTGACCAGCCAGTTAACAGGATTATGTGAGCCTGTGGGCGCTCTGCACCAAACACAATAAAAACTGTGATAAACACATTCAACACTTGCGTGCATAGAAAAAAATGAAAGAGGAAGAAAACAAAACCTACCATTGACATTGAGCCTGACAGCCTGACTCTGGTCTGACTGGAAGACTTCATTTGTTCCTCTTTTAACTTGGCATGAATATGATCCCGTGTTTGCCCTCACGACAGAACTGATGTTATGACTGTTTTCGGATTCGGCGAGTGGAGTCCCATCTTTGTACCACAGGTACTCCCATCCAGAAGAGACATTAACGTGACAGCTGAAGGAGACTGAATCTTCAGTGTGCATCACATCGTGCTCGGGATGCTGCATCAGTGTGACTCTGGGTTTGGTATCTGAGAGGTGAAAATAATACCAATGTTAATAGTAGGCTTATAAGAGCATTTAAATGTAAATCATACTGCAGAGTAATGACATTGAAAAACCCTTTACCAGAATGATAAATTTGTCTCTCTCTCTCTCAAAAAAACTCCCTTCCTTGGGAGATAGAGATGAGAAGATCGATACCACTCTCTTCTGTGATAGCTGGCTTAGCTTAGCACCCGGCTATGTACAAAGGTAACAAAATCTGCCTCCGAGCTCCAATAATGCTCACTAATTAACACTAAACATAATTCTGTTTGTTTAATCTAGAAAGAAAAGAAAAAACAATTTGTGGTTTTACAGTACAAGGCGTTATGTGGTTAATGTGGCAGGGGGCACTGGCCTCCTGGAGATAGGTGGATTCAAGTCATCAAGTCATCAAGCCAACCGTCAACTGGCTGTAGCTTTATATTGAACATGACAGATATAAAAGTGGTATTGCTCTTGCAATCTAACACTTGACAAGAAAGCAAATAAGCATATTTCCCAAAATTTCAAACTGCTGCTTTAAAATGACTGTTTTTGCTTATTATACTCCCCACTGGCCACCACTTCCAGTGTGACAATGATGAAAATGTTATTCCAAACAACTGTGGTAACAAAAAAGAAGAATAAAAATAAAATCTCACCATAAACCCTGAGTGTTAGTCCAGAACTGTTGGTGCTGAAGACAGACCGGTTCTTGAGCTTGAGCTTCGCTGAGCAGGTGTATTGTCCACGGTGTGAGGCAGAAGCAGAACTGATGGAAAGAGTTGTTTGATCCGAGTCAAAAGACACAATATTATCAGCCTGGACCTTCTGTCCGTCTTTGTACCATATATACGACCAGTCAGAGCTGCCATCCATCCTACAGCTGAACTTCACACTTTCAGAAGGGAACACATCCAACCACTGGGTCGTGATCGTCAAAGATGGAACAGGAATTTCTAAAAATAGACAGACACATTAGCCACTTTTAATATCCTAAGAAATATCTTGAGATGTATCTTGACTATAAAAGATTTATAACATAACATGAAAGGTGGAGACAGCATTATAAATACACAACACATCAATACAAAGTTACTTTCTTTGGCTCACCAACTATTTGTAAGTTCCATGTACCACTATGCTCGGCATAGTACGTTGATTTGTCTCTTTTGGCCTTGCACTCATAAGTCCCACTATCTGATGAACCAGCATTATGGATTTCAAAGCCACTGTTGTAAGAAAGTTCTGCTCCATTTTTGACCAACTGATACTCCCAACCAGACGAGCCTGGAACTTTACATTTGAAGGACACTAACTCTCCAGCATACACCTTGTTAACATCTGGATTTCGAGTCATCAAGGTCTTCGGCTTTTGTGCTAAAGACAAAAAGCAGAAGAAATGTGTCTGTATTCTGTCATACCAATGGCCTTTAACTGTTATAAAATAATAAAATATCTGTCAAGAGTCAAGAGAAACTTACTTTCGACTTTAAGGTGTATTTCCTGACTAGAATCACTGATGAAGACTTGATTCCTGCCTCTTTTTGCTTTGCATGTATATGATCCTCCATTTAATGTCTTAACAGAGTTGATTGAATATTTTTTTTCAGATACAAGTTCAGTGGCATCTTTATACCACAGGTACTCCCATCCAGTGGAGACATTGATGTGACAGCTGAAGGAGACTGATTCCTCAGGGAACATCACCTTGTACTCTGGATCCTGTGTCAGTGTGACACTTGGTTTCTTATCTGGGTAGGGTAAATAAACATGTAGTTGCCATCAGTGTGTAAAATTACAAAAGTTACCAGATGTGCCTTTAACACATAATGATCTCACCCAACCCCTTCCCCTAATCCTTGAAAATGTTTAATTATAATTTAAAGAAAACATCCCCTATTATAGAGTATATTGAGTAAGTATTTTTATTGTTATGTAAATTTAAAAGAAAACTTACCATACACAGTGAGAGTAAGTTCAGAACTTGGGCTGCTGCGGACAAACCTGTCCTGGAGGTGTCCCATACAGGTATATTTTCCTGCATGTTTATCTGAAGCAGAGCTGATGGAAAGAGTTGCTCCATCCGAGTCAAAAGACACAATATTATCAGCCTGGACCTTCTGTCCGTCTTTGTACCATGTATGTCTCCAGCCAGTGCCTTCAGCCATCCTACAGCTCAACTTCACACTCTCAGTGGGGAACACATCCAACCACTGGGTCATGTTCTTCAAAGATGGAACAGGAATTTCTAAAAACACAAGAGACACATTAGCCACTTTACATATCCTAAGAGATATCATCTTTGTGGGGTTTTTTTTAAATTTTATTTTATTATGATAGGGGCAGTGAAAGAGAGACAGGAAAGGTAGGGAAGAGGGTGAGGGGATGACATGCAGCAAAGGGCCTGAATCAGACAGTTTTATGCCTCAAAATATTAAGTTTACTTTCAGAAAAAGACAAGGCGAAGCAGCTAATTCACTGAGTTGTAATGCTTGGAATATTTTTCGGATTATACTATGGTATATGGTAGGCCAGATTGTCAAAGAAGATAGTGATTAATTTTTTGTTGACTAATTGATTCGTTGTTTCAGCCTCTTTGTATTTGCATTATTTTTTACCATGCAGTGAATAGGTACAAGCCACAGCATAGTTATTGCACATGCTTGTAGCATACGCAACAAAAGTATATCAAAGCACACTACAAGTAAGCTCAGTTAATGGGGTCAAACTAATAAAAAAAGGTTGAATACTCATTGACACTGTCTCATGTTTGAACTCTTTAAAGTAAGAAACCAGCAAAGGAAACAAAATACATAAAACTACCATATTCTTTTAAAGAGTAGCCTGCAATGGCCTTGTTAATCTGAGCATCCGGGATGCAATGATAATGATGTCCAATCAATACACAGTAGGCCATTATTCATATGGTTTAGAGAAAAAACAACTGCCTTAATCAAGTACAGTATTAAGATGAAGGAAGCAGAGACCAGTGAAAGAAAATGTGAAACTATGGAATGAGCTCATAGATTGAACAAAACATCCTTTCTCTAACTGATATTCCAGTGCTACATACACATACTGTATTCTTCTGAGCTATCCCTCCCTGCACTATACCACACCACAACATCCTGTTTCAACAGAAAAGACATAAAATAACGGAAGCTAGTTGCTTGTTTTACTGAAACCATAGCAGCTTGAGGTTTTTTCGAAGGCGTGTCAACAGCTAGATGACAGAAAATGAGAACGTCATTTACATACAGGATTAGCATATTAGTCATTTACAGCAAGCAATGTGAGCTTTTCTTGAACACCATATTTTAAATAATACTACTTTGCTGTTTTTACCTACCATGAACCTCCTGTGATATTTCAGCACTGTGGTTTGTTGATGTTTTTCCACTCCTGGTAGCCTGGCACGAGTATTTCCCCCCATCAGAAAGACTAAGATGAATGCTGATGGTTTTGTTGGTGGTAGGTAGTGAGAGGTCATTTCCATCTTTGTACCACCAATAGCTCCAGCCAGAGGACACGCCAACATTGCAGGTGAAGTTCACTTTTTCTCCAACATACATTGGGTTAAAATCAGGGTCCTTGCTCACTGTTGGTTCTGGTGTGTTTTCTGAAGCAGAGACAAATCACACAACATTACTGCTACACTGCACCTCAAAGCTTGTGATGAAGTCATACACAATAGCCCCTTAAGACATGCCTGTAGAGTCTAATGCAATCCAATACAACTGTTCTGCCATAAAATCTACATTTATGATGTATATAATGTTCTTATGTTTGACAATTCAATTTTATGTTATAGCATTAAGGTCATAGTTAGCGTTGATGCTGTATCAGGCTGCTTTACAGAAGTGTAATATCTTGTCACCCTTGTGTATGTAAAAAAAATAGAAACACCTCCCAATATAACATAGTCCAGTACAGCACCACCTTTAAGTTTGCCCTCAGCAATAGACATACATTTGAAATTACACATTTCTGAAAACATAAACCTCACAAACATTATAAACTTCATAAAGGTAGAATTTATGACAGAGCTGTTGTATTGAATTGTTATTGACTTTGCAGGTGTATCTCATGAAGTGGCCCAGTAACTATATATCTAACCATGGCCACCTCTATTAAGTCTTAAGTTAATGAAATTAAATATTAAGACATAATAACTGTACTTGTAAAACAAAAGTTACTAGCCTGGCTCTGTCAAAAGCTGACATTTTTAACAGTTTGATTGACACATGGTGTAAACACAACATCGACATACCATCACCTTTTAAATTGATACGGTGAACTTGTTGGCAAACAGTCAGACACACATCTTGCAGTTACAGAACGACATTATAATTCATTTGGATCAGTGTTTCTGGCCACTTTGCAAGTGTAAGTCCAATGTTCACTCTCTCATAGTTCTGTTTTTAGTCCTTACCAACTCTTGAGGGAAACATTTGGCTGTTTAGCTGATAAATACTCTAATATATTCAGCAGCTAGTTTCTATGTAAGCTAACCTAACCTGCCCTTTGGTGTAAAGCATATAGTGTGTAGTAGGTTTTTTGCTGTGGCTGAGAACAACACTATGAGAGCGGTGAGAATGAACCAGCATGATAAACAATGAGCTGCAACTCATTTCATTTCATTCATTGTTGTTACAAAAAATATAGATTATAGCTGCTTTAAGATACCTTAATGAATGTAAAGTTAATGTAAGTGTTATGTAGAGGCATGAACTCTTACCATAAACCATGACATTAATTCTGTTGCTGAATCCAGAGCTGGCTTTCCTGGAATTATGGTGAGCTTTGCAGGCATACTCTCCTTTATCAGTCTGAGTGACTGAAGTGATATTGAGAAATAATCCATCTTCATCCGAGTCCTGCTCTCTCAGTGAGTCATGCGAGAGCTGCTGTTCATTTTTGTAAAAGGTGTACTTCCAGGTTGTGTCGCCAACCTCACACCTTAACAACACTAGCTCATCTTCGAACACATCCCACCAGGTACTCTCCAGCGTCAGAGAAGGTGTAGGCGGGTCTGAAAATATGCACCACAAAGAAATCTTCAAGATAAAGCCTAATTAAAATCACTCATTGCATCAGAAAAGGATAAGAAAAAGGAACATAAAAATATCAAGTGCATTATTCGCTATTCAAATTGCCACCTTCTCATATTCAAGTACCATACATGTATCCAAAAGGCTCATGCAGATGGATGAAATGGTCGTATGGTTGCAGTGTAGTTTGACCTATAGCTGGTGACACAGTACAAATGTATGCTTACCAGAGACCTGCAGAGATTTTTTACCCTCCTCTGTGTAGAATGGGTCTTTGCCTCTCTTGGCTTTGCAGTGGTACTGTCCATTGTTAGAATGATCTATAGAATTTATTACATAAGTAGGAGTATTTTGTGCTTGAATTACACTGCCATTATGGGACCACAGATATTCCCATCCAGAGGCCTCCTCGACCCTGCATGTGAAGGTGACAGACTCTCCGGGGTACATCTTGTCAAAGTCTGGTTTTTGCGCCATAGTCAGCTTGGGGTTGTTTGCTAATCAGAAAGAATTTTTTTTAAAAATGATGAGATTTCAGTTATTCTTATATTCTGTCTTGACATTCAGAAAAAGTGTGGGAAATGAAACATAATGAAACCTACCATGAACTTTAACTTCAAGTGAGTTGCTACTTGAAGTGGTACCGCCCTTTGTTTTGTGATGAACTTTACAGATGTAATTTCCTGCCATTTGTGTTGCCGCAGTGATTGTGAGGACTGATCCGTCAGCAGATATAGACACGTTTGGATTTGCATCTTTTAGTAGTTCTTGATTTTTGTACCAGGTGATGATCAGGTCAGAGCTGCCACTGACACAGCTGAGCTCCACTTTCTCAGAGGGAAACACTTCCAACCAGGCTGACTGTTGCTGCAGAGATGGTATGGCAGGCTCTAGAAGTTTATTCAAAAATGATATGGATTACATTCATATAAATAGAAAAATAACATTATGCTGAAATTAGCATGCACATTTAGGCCCACTGGCATCATAGGAGCTTTAGTGTGAAAATTGTCTTGATTTTTCTTGTGATAAGTGCAGTTATGAATGTTACTCTAACATTGGATTAAAATAAATACAATTACAGACTACATTTAAAATTATTCAACATATGTTTACCAAGTTTTTTTTAATCGAAATTCCACATTGAAATACAATACAAATACAATAATATGATATACAGTATGAAATATTAGTTTTATTTTGCACATTGCAATAGGTTTCTTCTAAAAGGCAGTGAATCAAACTGCTTTGAAGTCATCTAGATTACTCAGTACAGAGTAAAAATAAAATTATATACTAAAACCTTTTGACAACGCCCATGATGATCTCACAGGTGCCATTTTTCATTTCCCATCCTTAGTCCAAAATCACTATAATACTATGATATACACATTGATTTTGAGTGAATTTTGCTCTCTCAAGTCCTTACGTAATTTATCACCTATATGCACCTAAATATCATCTAAAGGTGACTGATTGATTTCAGGAAGTAATGCCTTAAATTAAATTTAAAAAACTGAAGGAAGCTGCACAATCACTCTTACTCTTTTAGATTTATATACAGTAGAATAACAGAGGTTAAAGTCTCACTATAAACAGTTGTTGCCTCCGTCATTTCTGGCACAACAGTGGTTGGAAAGCTGCTTCTGTACACTTCAGTGGCTGTTGGAAGAGAGGAGATGTATTGAGGAAAGACTTAAGATCAGACAGAACAGCCAACATTTGTGCTTTATCTAAATGTCAAAGTGGAGGTTTAAACAGCAACAGCAGTAATAATAAATCAATTTTTCAAGCAAAAATGCCAAATATTTTCTGGTTCCTGCTTCTCAGATGTGAGGATTTGTTATTTTTCTTCGTCATACAGTATATGACAGCAAACTGAACCAGGTTTTGGACTGTAGGTAAAATAGAGTAAGAAATATTATAATCTCCTTGAGTTGTGGGAAATTTTATAGACAAAATGATCAATCATTTTATTGGGAACATAATCTGCCAATAAATTGATAATGAAAATAATTGTTGGATTATACAATATATTATCAGGTGTTATTTTACCCACCACTTTCACTGGATGACACAAGAGCAGGGACAATACAGTTTAGAAAGCATAACTATGTACAAAACATGACATTTGCACGACAGACTACTGAAATATCAACTTGCACTAATAAGAGTCTTGATTGTAGGAACTGTCAGACTCATGACAACAAAGTACTTTATGTTCCTCATGTTTACGTAACCCATGCTGTACTTCCTAAACATCATTTCGGTCTGATTCCAAGTTAGTACAGACTGTTAAAACATTTTATATCTAAATACGGATTCAGTATTTTCATATACAATCACATAAATGAACTTGGAAACAGAATATATTTAATTATTTATTTCAGATGTGATGTAGATGTTTTTGTCCAACTGCTTACAGACTAAAAGTTTTTAATGATTAATAAGTGCTGAACCTAGCCTTAATGTTTTGTCAACGTGTCAAACGTGTCTTACCATCTTCAGGATCCTGAGCTGCACAAACAGCAGTGAAATCTGTAAAAGCAAAACAATTATGCATTTTCATCATAGAATCGAGGGAATCATATTTGAATGTACATGAAGATATTCTTTAAATACTTTGATTAATCACAAAAATAAATGCAACTGCATAAAAACTTACATATCACACAGAAGACCTTGATAAGATACATTTTCCATTGAGCTGCACCTATAGATGCAGTGTTGCGGAGTTGAGTCATGTATCTGCTTTGAAGTGAAGTTCAGCAAAGGAAATAGACTGCAGACTCGATGGGCGTATGACACATTCGTTTCTAAACTCACCTCAGGACAGCAGCTTTCCTGTCTCTATGACATCTGCTTTTTTTTTTTTGGTTGAAGCAACAGGAAATATGTTTCAACCACAATGCATTTTCAAAATGAATTTGAACTGCTGATTTCTGCTGAAAAGTAACAGAAGGTTTAGGGAATTGAAACAACTTGCAAGACTGTTAATGTATGATAAGCCTGCTATTGTGTTTTATACCAAACAAATATTGTGTTAATTGTTTACTCTGTTTAGGTGTGTGTTTAGTGTGTTTGAAAGGAATTTCTTTCCTTTCCAATTCAAAAGGTTTACAGTATGCAAAGAATTTTTTAAAACTTTATACCATTTAGTTACATTTTATGATACCACTACCCATTATCTGAGTCATTAAACTGATTCTTGACAGAATTAAAAGTAAGCAGAACTAAAACCAAAGCTCTTGCTAAAACCATAGTTACTATTTTATCTTAGTGCAGTTTCACAGCAGATCTTTTTTAACCATGTAGGTGTGACATTATATTGGAAACCTCGGCGGAAGCTGCAGACTTATTAAGAACAAACATCACAGCCACATCCTTTTGTCTACAGCTGAAATTCAATTTCTAGACATAAAAATGGAAACGAGTTAAGCCACAATTAATTCCCTCAGAAACATACACATACATATACAATATATATTTTCATAAAGGTTTACAGATAATGTTACATATTGTCTCCTCACTATTCAATTACTGCTTGAGGAGAAAGCGCTCTGTGATTTGCAGTGTGAGATATGTGTGTTGAGATATGACATATTACCTCTCATCTGTCAGTGGTTTTGTCTCATCATACTCACCATAAGGTGTCAGTATAACACAGAAAATGTATTATCTCTGACAACTCCTCAGATCCTGAGCCTGCAAATTTGCTGTTTTATGCAAATTTATTTTTGAAAAGAATTAATATAAATGTATCTGTTGACTTACTACTCTGTCTAGTGTTACTGAAATCAGTTACAGTAAACATATATAAGATGATGTAGTTTGTGGTGATAACACAAGCTGAACTGCTCACTGCAAGTGTTGCTAGAGTTTTGACCTCTTTGTTTCACTGGTTACCAGTGAAAGCAGCATCTGGTCAACCACAACCTGCACAACATCCTGGGACTTAACATGCCAGATTAGCAATTAATTAAATGACATTTAAATGACATTTAAGCAGGGTGGATGTTGAAAACAGGTGTTTGTGAATATGAGTCTGTCTGAAAAGCAAGGAATATCCCATCCAAATTTTATTTTTTGTGCATCAATTAGTCATCACCCACGTGGCAACCAGGGGACCCACAAGAGTGTGTGTATATACAGTGTGTGTGTTTATATGTGTATATATATATATATATATACATATAAACACACACACACCCGCCTTACTATACTATGAGTGGTCATGACTTACTATATTATGACTCTTTTGTGCCTTAATATACTATGACATTTTATGCCTTACTATACACTATGCATTTTTATGCCTTACTATATACCATTAAGTTTTTTTTTCTTTTAAGTTATATTTTTGACTTTATTCGGACAGTACAGTGAGAGAGATACAGGAAATTCAGGGAGAGAGAGAGAGGGTGGATGACAGGCAGCAAAGGGCTGCTGTTTTGTCTTACTATACTATGTCTTTGTATGCCTTACTATATGATGACGTTTTTATGACTTACTCTAATATGACTTTTTATGCCTTATTATAGGATTTTTATGAGGAGTTTTTTGTGACATTTTATGCCTTTCTATTCCTTATTATACTATGACATTTTATGACTTACTATACTATGACTTTTTATGCTTTACTATACTATGACTTTATGCCTTTCTATACTATGACTTTTTTTTGACTTACTATACTATGAATTTTTAATGCCTTACATTATTATGACTTTTTGTGCCCTACAAAAATATGACATTTTGTGCCTTATGTTACAACCCCAAGTTGTTCTAGGGGAAACAGGAGTAACATAAAACTAGTAACATAGTAACTTACTAAACAATGATGTTTTTATGACATTTTATGCCTTACTATATTATGACATTCTTTATGACATTTATTGTCTTACTATACCATGAAGTACCTTGAGTTACAACATGCTTCGGCCTGCTGCTGTATTGTCCTCTGTGTCTGTTGCTGTGTATGTTCCCAGAGTTACCAATTATGTCCTTGTCTTCCTTGTGCTTCTGGTTCCTGTGGTCTCCTGTGTTTCCACGTGCTTAACCAGTGTTTTGTAAATTCTTTTGTTAATAAACATTTTTACACTCATCCCTTGTGTGGTTGTATTTGGGTCCAACTTAGCACAAAACATGACAATTTTATGGTTTACTATACCATGATGTTTTAATAACATTTTATGCCTTGGTATATTTTGAAATTTTTGTGACATGTTATGGCTTACTAGAGTAAGACCTTTTTATTCCTTACCATACTATTACGTTTTTATGACTTTTATGCCTTAATATACTATGATATTTTTTTGACGGCAATTTTATTCCTTATTATACTATGTCATTTTATTCATTACCATACTATGACCTTTAAATTACCTTTTATTCCTTAATATACCGTGATGTTTTTTTGATGTTTTATGCCATACTATACTATGACGTTTTCATAATGTTTTGTGTCTTACTATACTAATATGTTTTTATTACATTTTATGTCTTACTATAGTATGATGTTTTTATGCCTTGCTATACTATGACGTTTTCATAACGTTTTGGGCCTTACTATATGATGATTTTTTTATTACATTTTATGTATTACTATACTATGATGTTTTTATCCCGAACTTTACTATGAAATTTTTTTTGTCTTACTATATTATGACTTTATGCCTTACCTTAAAATTACTTTCATTCCTTATACTAGGAATTTTTATGCCTTACTATACTATGATGTTTTTACAACATTTTATGTCATGGTTTGCCAAGGCATTTTATGTTTGACTTTCTTTGGATTTTGTCACTTCCTGTTTTATTTTGTAATGAGTTTTGTTGTGTGTCTCGATGGTTTTACTTCCTGTCTATGTCCTGTTTCCCTCCTTGATGATTGTCTGCCTTGCCCTAATGTGTTTCACCTGTGTTCAATCAACCTTACCTCCCTCGTGTCTATTTAGTCTCTGTGCTCCCCTTTGTCTGTGTCAGTTCATCCGTTATTCCCCCCTCTGGCATCTGTTTAAGTACCTTGAGTTACATCATGCTTTGGCCTGCTGCTGTATTGTCCTCGGTGTCTGTTGCTGTGTTTCTTCCCAGAGTTACCAGTTAAGTCCTTGTCTTCCTCGTGCTTCTGGTTCCTGTGGTCTCCTGTGTTTCCATGTGCTTCACCAGTTTTTTGTAAATTCTCTTATTAATAAACATTTTTGCACTCATCACTTGTGTGGTTGCATTTGGGTAAAACTTAAAAAAAAACCTGACAATTTTATGCCATACGATACCATGAAGTTTTGCCTTGGTATATTTTGGAATTTTTATGACATGTTATGGCTTACAAGAGTATGACATTTTTATGCCATACGTTAAAATGACGTCATTGACATTTTTAAGGCTTATTATACTTTGTCATTTTATTCCTTATATGCTATGACGTTGCTATGACCTTTTATGCTTTAATATACTATGATATTTTTTGACATTTTTATGCCATACTATAATATGATGTTTTTTGGCATTTTGAGGCCTTATTATACTATGTCCTTTTATGCTTTAATATACTATGATGTTTTTATGAACTTTTATGCCATACTATACTATGACGTTTTTTGGCATTTTCAAGTCTTATTATACTGATTATACTTTGTCCTTTTATTCCTTACCATACTATGACCCTTTTTATGATCTTTTGTGCCTTAATATACTATGATAATTTTTTGATCTTTTATGCCATACTATACTATGGCGTTTTTTGACATTTTTATGCTATTCTATACTATGTCATTTTTCACATTTTTATGCCTTACTATACTGTGTCCTTTTATTCCTTACCATACTTTGACATTTATATCACCTTTCATGCCTTAATATACTATGTGTTTTTTTTTTACCTTTTATGCAATACTATACTATGACGTTTTTTTGCATTTTCAAGTCTTATTATGCTGTGTCCTTTTGTTCCTTACCATACTATGACCTTTTTCATGACCTTTTATGCCTAAATATACTATGACGTTTTTTGACATTTTTATGCCATACTATATTATGACGTTTTTTTTGGCATTTTCAAGTCTTATTACACTATGTCGTATTATACCTTACCATACTTTGACATTTATATCATCTTTTATGCCTTAATATACTTTTTTTTTTTTTTTACATTTTATGCCATGTTATACTATGAAATTTTTCGCATATTTATTCCTTACTATACTATATTGTTTTATTCCATACCATACTATGAAGTTTTTATGATCTTTTATGCCTTAATAAACTATGACGTTTTTTGACATTTTATGCCATACTATACTATGTTATTTTATTCCTTACCATACTGTGACCTTTTTATCACCTTTTATGCCTTAATATTTTATGTTGTTTTTTTGACGTTTCTATGCCATATAGTACACTATGACGTTTTTTTGACATTTTCAAGTCTTATTATACTGTATCCTTTTATTCCTTACCATAATATGAACTTTTAATGACCTTTTATGCCTTAATATACAATGTTGTTTTTTTGACGTTTTATGCCATACTATACTATGACGTTTTTTGAAATTTTTATGACATACTATACTATGTTCTTTTTCACATTTTTAAGCCTTACTATACTATGTGAGCAGATGTCTTACCATTCTATGACCTTTTTATCACTTTTTATGCCATACTATACTATGACGTTTTTTGAAATTTTTCTGACATACTATACTATAACGTTTTTTGGCAATTTTATGCCATATTATACTATATGAGTTGATATCTTACCATACTGTGACCTTTTTTACACCTTTTATGCCATAC